GTGACGTGTCAAAGTTTTGGACAGTTTGGCCTAATACCCTTAAAAAAAAGTGTTGTATTCGAATCGACTGATTTGAAGGATGTTTCATTTCACCTTAACATCGCCGGGGGCTCGGCACGCGCCGGTGCTTCCAAAATTGGGACAAAGCCGGAGCGTCGTAGCCAATTTGCGGCACGGTCTAGGTTTCGATGGGGCCAGTGTTAGGTCCCTACCTAACATTTTATTTTAAGTAATATTAAGAAAGAGACTAGGCAACGCATCTTGCGCTCCAAAACGCTCCTGGAGACATGCTCTCCCTCATTCTTATCTCCCCTTTGTTTATCCGAGTACGTCCGCATCCCAAACGAGATTACAGCCCTGGGAAACGACAAACATTCAGATTCTCTGGAAAAAGACACTTTCCACCTGTTTCCCCTTCGACCTGTCGCCAAGCTAATCACATGAGACATTTCTCTCCTCGATCTTAAAAACCCACCAATAAGCATCCTCCTCCGCGCCTAGGAACATCCTAGGTCAGTATAAAAAGGCCCGCTCCGAAGGGCTCGCTCTCTGATCTACCGAAGTTTGAACTGTCTCCATTCTGTAACCTGCGTGCGAGGCACCTGTAACTCTCGGTGAACGTTAGTCCCCTTGAGTTGATCGAGTCTACGAGTCGTTCCTGTAAAACCGAGAGGTATCGAAAATAAAGTATGTTCGTTACTTTGCTCGACGAGGTCTGTGGCTGGTTTCAACCATCTGGAAGCGAGTCCCCAAAAACAAACCCACGAGGCCCGGTCCGATCGACATCCTCGGGTAATCGCTATCACCGCTCCCGAGTAAACGATCCCCGACCTAACATCAGCCGAATCCCTACAAGGAGCAGCGCACGATGTGCTTCGGCATTTTCTGACTTCGACCCCCAAGTCAGGAGGATTAAGCACTTTCCTTTACTCTGTACCATTGTCTAATTATCTTTATAGATATCTATCCCTATTTTTTACAGATTCCTCAGGGCATTAGAAGATCTTGCCAGTCCTATGATGTTCCTACAATTTATAGATACCGTTGCAGTAATTTGCTTCATAATCTTCGAAGTGATGGCCATTCAGATTAAGGTAGGAACACAGATGTTGACGGTTGTCAGATAATTGTAACGAATGTGCAACACAAGGCAATGCACACTATTTTCAAATAATCATATGTCTGTAAATAAGTAATGCATATTTTCTTTCTGAAAATTCAGATGAACGCAGAGTGTGTGGCTCACCTTTGCATGCTATTAGCGTATTTCTACATCGTATTCTCGCAACTCTTCTACTTTTGCTACTATTCGAACAGTGTCACTACATTGGTTAGTACAAATATTCAGTATATGTGATTCAATATTAACCTGTTAACCGGGGAATTAACATTTGTGCAACTCATTTCACAATGAGGATTTTTTTTCTTTGCCTAATTTCCATGACGAAAAAAGTCGTCATGCCCATTTGAAGTGTCTTCCTGTTATAACAAAAAATTTCACCTAAAAATTTTTCAAAAATTTTCTCGGAGGAAAAGTTTTCTGCTTCAAAAAGCAATTTTGTTATGATGGTATGAAAGTGTCCTGCAATTTTTCCATATGATTAATTTGCCGTTAAATTTAGAGCTTGCAGATAGCAGATTCAGCTTACTTCTGTTGTTGGGAGTTACCAGAATATAAATCAAACAGGGAATTGAGTAACTTGAGATGTCTACTGCAGATGACAATCATTCGCGCTCAGAAGCCCTTCCATTTGTCTGGTGGTCCATTTTACAATTTAAATCTTGAAACTTTTAAGTCGGTAAGTTTTCCAAGTCATATTAAATTTATCGTGATCCATCTGTTTGTAACATGTGTTTTTCAATTCCGTAATTCTAAAAATAATTGGTATACTACAAATTTAACCTATATAATATCATTTCTTTTCAGTGCATAGGAGTTGCAATGTCTTACTCATTTGTATTACATGCCGTTGAACAGGAAAAATGATTTGATAACTATGAAAACTGACTTTCCTTAAAGCACCCAAACAATGGCAATTTCTCTTCGATCAAAAGCAAATAACTGTTTTTGTTAAAAAAAAAACATTTGCATTTTTTATATAGCTAACAAAAATGGCGCAGCGGATACAAGAATTTATTTATTCATTTGGCTTTCGTTTAATAGCACAAAAAACTCAAATATCAAAAACATTCATCTAAACAAGTGTATACACTTTAATATGTTTAAGTACTTATTAAAGCACTTTAAGGCTTTATGCATTCTTGCACTTCTTAAATAAATTGTTTACGGTTTCTACAATGAGATCCATGTAATAAAATAGTATTATTGTTATCGTAAACGCTAGTGTATTGTAGCGGGTCAGGTGGTTAACATGCGCCACTGTACATAAGGACTAGTAATTCGGCCCTATTCGAGCATGCGCGATAATAATTGCGAGCAAGTAGGGAGGCCCTGGGAGAGGGGACCGCGGACCGCAAGCGCGAAGCTCGGCGAACGAACGCTCTCTTACAAGGAAGGTACCTGAGGTGTCCCCCTCCGATTTTGTTCATTTTTAAATATGTTATAGAGGACTAAAATCTAAGGGACCCGTGTTTTTTTTTTATCGGCGGATAAACACTTTTAGGGCGTGAAATCAGGCTTCAAGGTTGGCCGTGCAAGGGGGTGAGTTGGCTGTTTCATATAGAGGCACTCGACCGATTTTCATGAAACAACCGTCAAAATGTAGGGGATGAAGAATTATGAAACATGCATTTGGAATTTTTCGAAACAATTCATTTTTAAGGGGTGACCCACCTCTATGAATACTTCTTTTACCCCTTACGCGAGCAGTAATTGTTCTACCCAAATGAAACTTTTTTTGTATTGTTCTGGTCTATAAATTAACTAAGTTTCATTTGGATAGAGCAATTACTGCTCGCGTAAGGGGTAAAAGAAGTATTCAAAGGGGTGGCTCACCCCTTAAATATGGATTTTTTTCGAAAAATTTCAAATGCATGTTTCATAATTCTTCATCCCCTACATTTTGACGGTTGTTTCATGAAAATCGGTCGAGTGCTTATATATGAAACAGCCAACTCACCCCCTTGCACGGCCAACCTTGAAGCCTGATTTCACCCCCTAAAAGTGTTTATCCGCCGATAAAAAAAAACACGGGTCCCTTAGATTTTAGTCCTCTATAACATATTTAAAAATGAACAAAATCGGAGGAGGACACCTCAGGTACTTTCCTTGTTAGATCTGAACCTTCGGCTCGATCACAGCGCGTATAAATTGGTAATCGGAATCGTACTCGCCCGTTTGCGATCGGGGAACTTGATGTTCCAGGTGAGTATTTTCTTTTACAGGGACCTTACAATCCAGCAGGTCTGGCACAATCGCCATTCCTGTATCCTTCACCCCTTTTTATTCCTCCACACTAATTTCCTCCCTTATCCCATCGGTCTTGGTATTGCACCAACTAGCGAACACCTTTTTCCACAAACCAAACCCAATCACCAGTCAATGTCCGCGACTGGTTAATTTAGAATAAGTGATACTAACCCCCGTAGAGCATAACTCCGGGAAGAATCATAGATTCGCGGAACCAAATAGTCCGCGGCCCAAGCATTAAAACTCATTGAGCAAAGATAGATTTGGTTTAGACTGATCAGCCAATCCCACAGACCGAGTAGCATTCTCAGACCAAGGTTCAAAAAGGAACCTCAAATTTGCTCCCTTAGAGTCAACTAGCCCTGAGCTAGAAATAGATTTCGGCGCGCGGATCGAGTAAAACGGAAGATCGGCAAACTTAGGGCACGGAGTAGGGACTAACTTCCCTAAACTTTTAACAGTTTAAATTTATCCTAAAACCTGAAATTCCATTATTCCAAATCCTGATGATTCAATGATGAAACTACAGAACGCACCGATAACGGGATAAGCCGTTCTCACTGAGAGTCAAATTCCCATCCTTCCTTTCCCTGCAGCTGTCATCAGAAAAACCGGAAACGCGATAATAGAATTGGGATTGCACCTAATTTAATTAAAGTGATCCGGAACAGTGAATCATTTTCTGAGAAGTTTAAATCGCCAATTCGTGCGAAACGGTGCGGAAGCAAAGGCCCCAACGATAGAAAAACTCGCTAAATCCGGATTCGGGCGACAGGTCTCCCAACTCGTTATAATATTTACGCGCTCAGCTGATCGTTCGTGAACGCTCTCCTCGCTCTCTCGCCAGTCTCTTTCTATTTTATATATTAGAATTTAAATTAATTTCGATCTCAGGAATCGTGAGGCTCGAACCCTCGAAGGATGCAGTTTTTCGGTGCATAGGCACGGATCAAACTGCATACCATTACAGTATATATTTGTTGTTTCTTGCTACTTCTTAAGGTGACGTGAAACCCCCTTCAAATCAATCGATTCGAATACAACACTTTTTTTTAAAGGGTATTAGAACCAAACTGTCCGAAACTTTGACACATAACTCCTGATCATCTAAGAATTGTCCTGACACATTCAAAATTTGAAAACGACAGGTGGAGTATGCCATTTGGTACAATACCCAATATAATTCGACACAGCTGTCAATATAAAAACGAACGTCGGCAACGTAGGCATTTAGAAAAATCTTCTTTATCGACGTTGACCAAGTTCCTCGACGTGTTTCACTTCACCTTAAGGTGATGTGAAAGTGGCGTCAAAGAGATCTCGTTTAAGAAAAATTTCTCCGATTTAGTTGTATCGAATCGTCGAAGTTAAACGTGCCTTTTCGCGGTATATTGAGTGGGTAACTCAATATACCGCGAAAAGGCACGTCTAACTTCGACCTCCGGCGCGAGATGTCGACTCGGAGTCATGGGTCAGCATACCTGGTAAAAAGGCTTGAATCTGGACATCCGGGTAGGATGCTTGTGCGTTTCCAGATGTTCTCTTCTCCCATTTCCTTCTATTACTTACCGATAGGTTTTTTTGGACGTAACAATGGTATTAAACATTTTTGTATTCATTTACAATCATATTGTGAATTTAATCGTCATAAAATCTGCGAAGTATTTTATTGAAAAACCCATTTTACATACAACATTGAGGGAAAATTACGAATCTTTAAATGTTTTATTCTAAGTATATATTACGGTTGATGCAAACTGGAGCAGAGTAGGATGTTTCTGTTTTAAACATTTTCATTTACGTTCAGTTCAGCAGACTTTTGTGTGCCTCTTCAAATACGTTAACTGTGCCTTGGATTCAAGTGTTGCTAACTCGTTAACGCTTGGTGCCATTTGTTGAGTGTGTCCTTGATATCCACTCCCTAATTACATTATACGTACAAAATAGTTATAATATAACATATTATAAAGCTAAAATAATATTAAGGAATGTACATACCAGTATTTAAATTCTTTTGTCCGTAAATGACCTTGCCATCAAATTCATTCATTGGGACTTTAATATCAGGTTCAATCTGTTGTATTGTCACATTCAAGTGCTCCTCGATTTCTCCTAAATACTGTAATCAGAATATTTAATTTAACTGAAAATGACATATTCACTAATAATAAAGGCATTATTTTTCAGGTAAAGCGAAACTCGCTTCATATGTTGATTAGGATAAAACTCATTTCTTAAAAAGTATTCCATCGAACTGGTTGAAATTTTATCACAGCAATTATGAGCTCTTAAGGAATGTTCTAACATTTTCAAATTTTTTATTTTTTTATATAAAAAATTGATTAACAGCCTAGACCAGATCCAAAATGGCGTTGTGCTCCCATATTTCGATCAATATCAAATTCTTGGAGGTTCTGATGTGAGAGACGAGACTGTCAAGGTTCGGGAGACCGACTGTGTTTATTTCAGTTTTGGGCCCTCTTTATATAGTGAGGGCCCCGACGCGTCAGCCAATTAGAGGGCTCCTTTAGGGAACCTTTTGACACATAACTCCTGATCATCTAAGAATTGTCCTGACACATTCAAAATTAGGATTTTTGGACAAAATTTTTTAACTTAGCCTAGACCAGATCCAAAATGGCGTTGTGCTCCCATATTTCGATCAATATCAAATTCTTGGAGGTTCTGATGTGAGAGACGAGACTGTCAAGGTCGTCGCACAAAAATTTAGAACATTATAATCATTTAAAAACACGAATTTCAAAATGATGAAGGCAAAGGAAGTATCGTGGTTCAATTCTGTGTTAAGACGACGGAAACACGTGTAGAACACGTTCTCTTGAGAGCAATATTTAGTTGGAATTAAATGCAACAGATGGCTCTGCGGTCGATTAGTATGTCGAATTAGGATTGTGGGGATAATAAGTGATAAAAATCATAAATCCAGGGGATTTCTTGGATTTTACTTTGACTTTTTTGTAATCACTTTATAAGTAGCTTGTTCTTGTAGAGGTTGAAAATAACAAAAATATATAGGTATAACCCCATACTTCATGTTTGAAGTATTGCAAACAATATAAGTATTATGATTCATATTGCATATCTACAAATTTTGACTGATAACTGAGTGCAAAGAAAATAGAACTATTGTTTATGCATATTTCCAGGAGCGATAGTTTCATTTATTAATACTATATAACTATTTATGAACTCATTAAATGATAGGCTGAAATAAAGCAGATGAAGTGCCATAGAACTGTTGTCGTACGGGGCAGTCTCGGGGTTGCTTCCTGGTTGGAGGTCGCGTCAACGGCGACCCTGGGTGGGCGACGGGGGTTCGGGCGTCCGTGGGCAGCTCCCGGAGAGCGCCTATCCGCGAACGAGACGTGGGGAGGGTGAGAGGGAGAGAGAGAGAGAGAGAGAGGAGGCAACTCCCGAGGAGCGCCAACTCAGGCGGCATAGCGGGAGAAAGGGCGAGGAAGGAGGCAGCTCCGGGGGAGCGCCAACTCGAGGGAGAGAAAGCGGGAGGGGGAGGAGGCAGCTCCAGGGGAGCGCCANATCTAAGAATTGTCCTAATACATTAAAAATTTGGATTTTTCAACAAAATTTTGTAACTCAGTCCAGACCAGAACCAAAATGGCGTCGAGCTCACATATTTCGATCGATATACAATTATCGAAGGCTCTGATATGAGAATCGAAAGGGTGAGGACAATTTTACGACAATTTAGAAGACTCTGGTAATCGATAAACTCGCATTTGATCGGGATAAAGACAAAGAAAGTGTTGTATGCGCTTCTTTGCTAAAACGATGGGAATACGAGGTCTCGGAGTGAAAATTTAATTGACCTGGAAATCACAGATGGCGCAGAGGGTCCCTCTGCAGTCAATTAGGGCTCCAGAAAGCATGAATCCAGAGGATTTCTAGAGTTTTACTTCGATTTCTTTATAATTATTGTACGAAAACGACAGGTGGAATATGTCATTTGGTACAATACCCAACATAATTCGACCCAGCTGTCAATATAAAAAAGAACGTCGGCAACGTAGGCATTTAGAAAAATCTTCTTTACCGACGTTGATCAAGTTTCTCGACGTGTTTCACTTCACCTTAATTGTACATATAATTTCTGATACTTTGTAAATTTACCCGTGGTTCGTTGTACCAGACGCAGCAACCTCCCTCCGTAGTTAGTCTCGTATTGGTACAATTTCTTCCTCGTGAAGGACACCATTCGCCATGATACCAAACTTTTTCTGGAACGCTACTAACTAATGAGATAGCCAGTCCCATCCTTTCAGCTCTGCCTACTCTTCCTATGCGATGTACGTAATTCGATTTCTCGTCCGGTAAAGTAATGTTGATCACTGTAATTAATTTACATTGCAATGCTGGGTTATTGTAATTATTTAAACTATTGTAATTACTCAAACTCAATATGTCGTTGAGATTTTCAATAAATATTTTAGATATCTTCAAATGAAATCTACACATCTTAAAGAATCTGTTGCTTGAGTTACTTAACAAAGATTAGAAAAAAATATTTAGAAATTATTCTGTGCTACTAGAGTTCATTCTACTTTAGTGACACTCGAATAAAAGGTATCCCACTGTGACTAACTTAAAACACGTGTATTTTTATGAATTTAGTTAAGGAACAATTACAAATTGAAAATAAACAGCGGAATATAACCTAATTGTTACGTAAAAAAAGCAAAGAAAATACGTGGAAACGAAATAAACTTTGTTTTATAAATATATTCTTTATAAAGTGACATTAGCTTATCTTTAAGAACTTACTGAATGGTAAACCAGTTATATCTAATCCTCTGGCGGCCACGTCGGTGCATATCAGGAACTTAACTTCTTGCTTTTTAAACTTTTCCAAATTGGACTTGCGTTCTGCGGGTTTCCTGTCACCGTGTAAGCAAACACACGAAAACTGACTTCCGCCCATTTGCTTTAGGTAGCGTTCCAAATTGTCACAGTCTAGTTTTGTTCGACAAAACAGAAGGGCTCGATCCATTTTTAACTCCTTAATAGCACGAACGCAATATTCCCCTTTAAGTATTTTAATCGCTTCTGAGAGTGTCTCTGAAATTAATAACAAGGTGTAATTATTACATTAAAACATTCACCACATAATGAATAGATTACCAATAGAATTAAATATAAAATTATGATTTAGTTTCGGGAATCAGCAACATAATATGAAAATTGCCATATATGTATGTAATTACACGTCGATAGTATTTGATTTTTCGATAGTATTTTATTTTAGTCGATAGAAAGGCAAAAAATAAAGGAATTAAGGTGAAGTGAAACACGTCGAGGAACTTGATCAACGTCGATAAAGATTTTTCTAAATGCCTACGTTGCCGACGTTCGTTTTTATATTGACAGCTGTGTCGAATTACATTGAATATTGTACTAAATGGCATACTACACTTGTCGTTTTCGTACAATAAATATCAAGAAATAGAAGTAAAACTCCAGAAATCCTCTGGATTCAAGCTTTCTGGGGCCCTAATTGACTGCAGAGGGACCCCCTGCGCCATCTGTGATTTCCAGGTCAATTAAATTTTCACTCCGAGACCCCGTATTACCATCCTTTTAGCATAGAAGCGCATACAACACTTTTTTTGCCCTTATCCTGTTCAAATGCGATTTTATCGATTACCAGAGTGTTCTAAATTGTTGTAAAATTGTCCTGACCCTTTCAATTCTCATATCAGAGCCTTCGATAATTGTATATCGATCGAAATATGAAAGCTCGACGCCATTTTGGTTCTGGTCTGGGCTGAATTATAAAATTTTGTTAAAAAATCCAAATTTTGAATGTGGCAGGACAATTCTTAGATGATCAGGAGCGATGTGTCAAAGTTTCGGACAGTTTGGTCTAATACCATTAAAAAAAAGGGTTGTATTCGAATCGACTGATTTGAAGGGTGTTTCACTTCGCCTTAAGGCGACACGCGCGCGCGTTCATGCCTCGCAGCATGTGACACGGGTCTGTAGAATTTCGGTTTGCAGAATGCGAAAGGCCGGGGGTGTTGCACAAAAACAAGGGACGAAAGAAAAATATGATATCTAATTTACCAGCAGTGTTGTTGCCAGGTCGTACATCATCTCTGCTGTGAACACCATCAGTTTGGATGTGACATCTCAAATTTTGCCATAATTTATCCTTCTGAGGATCGACCATCACAACAACATGATGAACTGTATCTGGGACAGCATCTTCACCTTTCAGATCTACCCACGTCGGAAAGTGCATCAATCGGCCCTAAATAATTAAAACGGAGAAATATGCTGAAGAAAAAGTCCGTAGAACGCATACTTCATTTTTATACTTACTGCCATTTTCTTAACATCAAAATCGTGCAATGTAGCGGAGCACACTATCATTTGCAATCTGTTGCCGTCGGACGTAATTTTCGGCATTTGATTGTATAATCGATCAATCATTTCGCTGTATCCTTGCTTAAGTAAACCGTCAGCTTCATCTAACACAAAAAACCTGTAACCAAATTATACGAACAGTTCAGATTTAGTATACAAATTATGAAGGTCGATATAGAACTAAACTTAAGTGGGTAAGATGTCCTTGAAATTGATGGAAAATCTATACTCCAGTAAGTACGTTTGCCGCAAGTTTATTTCTTTGTATTAAAGTGAAGTGAAACCCCCTTCAAATCAGTTGATTCGAATACAAAATTTTCTTTTGAGGGTAAAAGACCAAACTGTCCGAAACTTTGACACGTCACTCCTGATCATCTAAAAATTGTCCTGACACATTGAAAATTTAGATTTTTCAACAAAATTTTTTAACTCAGCCCAGACAAGAACCAAAATGGCGTCGAGCTCTCATATTTCGATCAATATACAATTATCGAAGGCTCTAANAAATATTAATTATATTAAATTTCTGAACGTCTTTCACGTGTCCTTAAGGTGATATGAAAATCAGCTTATATATATATTGTGACGTTGCAAAAGTCTTTGCACGTCACAATGGATTCTGGGTGCCGGAGCGGGGAGGAGTCCCGCTGGCAAACATTATAATAAGCTTTGTATTATATTAAAATGTATGTAAAACTTGCGAGATACTCAGCAGTGTACAGGCGCCGGGCGCATCGGGCGCGCAAATATAATTTTCACAGGCTTATGGACAGCGCGCGGGGCCCCGAATTCGGGGGTCCTGCTGCCCTTAGTGGGCGATCGCTCTAATTAGGCGGCCTAGGGATGTTCGATTCTCTTAGAAGAATCGATTCTTGAATCGGATCATGAAGAATCGATTCTCTTGAAAATCGGAATCCAAAGAATCGATTCTGCAATAATCAATCCAAAAAATCGGAAATTTTTCATATATAATTAACACAAATTTAATTAATACATTTTTACGTGTCGAAAGCCATCCATGAAAATGAAATGACTGTTGTACAAAAAAACTAAACAATTATTAGCAGTTTATATAGCAATTATATGTCTTCTCTAGCTTTCCCTTTGGCCGATATTTCCGGCCGAGATGGTCGACGGAATAAATGAGAGGTTCTGATTGGCTGTTGAAATTCAGGTAGTGTTATGACAAAAGTGCGTTACGACGCTGAGTTTCAGTAGCCAATCTTGTCGTAGCGACCTACAGCAACCAATGAGCGAAGCGAATTTCTCCCCTCGTAGGTCGCTACGACAAGATTGGCTACTGAAACTCAGCGTCGTGACGCACTTTTGTAAAGAATCGATTCTAAAAATCGATTCTTTCAGCAAAAAAATCGATTTTTGAAAGAATCGAATCGGAATCGAACATCCCTAAGGCGGCCTAGTGATCTAACCAAACTAGGCGAGATGGCAGGTCGATGCCAAAAAGTTCAGGGATATCACTAAAAAAACATAGTCTTAAACGTATCTCCCCCCTTAAGTAGTTTATCTTTTAAAGCCCCTAATTAAAGAACATGTTATCCCCCATCTGCTAAAATATATTCATATCCACAACTGTATTATAAAGTTCACATAATAACGACAACTTGAAATACACTTACCTGCAATGAGTTAGTGATAAATAACCACTCTGAACAAGATCCTCCAAGCGGCCAGGTGTACCAACAACAATATCAACGCCAGAATTTAATATAGAAATTTGTTCCTTTATATTTACACCTCCGATGACCAGGAGCTCCTTAACTTTTGGATCCTTCAAGTTCACCTTAAACTGTAGAATTTCTTACATTAGGACTGACTAACTTATTTATAATAGAATCTTTAACGGAAACGAAGAAATTTGGTGAATAAAACAACGCGCGCATGGGATGGGACCCGAAAGTCAGGAGAAGCACGAAGGGACCACGGTTGCAGGAAACCTGATCGCATGGTCCCCTCCGACGCGCCGATGGCAACCATCGTGCGGTTTTTAGTAGGTGTGAGTCCCACATTACGCCCGCTCTCCCCCGGGGGCGGTGGTGTGTAGACGTTTTCTCCACGAAAAAAAAAAAGTGGTAAGAGGAACGAATGTTCATGTAACCCTGAGGGCATGTATTATGTTCCGTGCGCGACACTCATGTATGTAAATTCATCGCGGACTTTGAAATGTCAGACAAATTCCCAGAAAGGGACTTACTGCCTGCTTGGGGCCATCGGGCCATTTACCAATTTAGCAATTTCCTGACTTCGAAATCGGTTCGTAAATTTTAGTTTTCTACGATACGATAATATTGCCCTGTACGTCCCAGCGCGGAAATTTAGGGTTCTTTAGAATTTTCTCGGGTTGACCGTCCCTATTCTTTACCGTCATACCATCTTTAACTTTACCGCTAACAGGTGCGCGCAACATGCACACGGGCATACAGCATGTTTTTCCATCTGCACGGCAACTAGAAATGTTCCGTTTTCACCCAACCGTATTGGACAGCTACCAACCAATCACGAGGCTGACTATTCGATTTTAACCGCCCTTCTTAAAATCAGTCAGCCAATCGCTATGCAAGAAATATGCTACCACCTCCTCAAAAAATGTAATGCAACCGGAGGAGGAATTCTGTATTTTTGCTGTAAGTCAGTCAGTCTCCGTCTCCCGATAATTCAACGTCTCTCGTCAGCCTTCACCATCATCTCTGCAACCGTTATCGTTATTCACGCGTGAAGAGCTGACAAAATTCAATAAGTCATTCGTGTATTTAATATTATAATAAATTTAAGTTGTTTTGTTCACGACAGTCTCACTCTTCATTCGGGTACCTTCCTTCTTCACGTGAGCAGTTGTATGAATATCCCATTTTGCAATTCTACTTGCAAGAACAATCGGGATTTATGCAACAACTGCCCGACAAACTAGCCGGGCAGAACATATTAAACAAGGCAGAATATTATATCTCGAAAAAGTCAAGGAAAAATTAATTCAGGTATGGTTAATGCAATTTAATGATAGAAAAATGATTTGATCTGAGCTGAAAAAAATATATAAATTTACCTTTTGTAATTGTTGAAATGTCTGCTCTGCCAGTTCACGGGAGGGTTCGATAATAATTGCTTGTGGTGCATTACTGGTCGGCTTGCCATTTCCTTCGGATGTTTGGCCTTGACTGCAATTCACTGGATTTAGTTTTATCAGATCCTTTGGGGCGGCGGATACAGCAATGTATCCACTTGGTGGAGGATGCTTAAAAGGCTGAGCACCGAAATTAAACGACATCTCGGCATTTTTTAGCACAACGGCAGGAAAAAAGGTCTGTGATTTCTGCTGTTCATTTAGGGTGAAGGCTCGCCCTAAATCGGTTCCATTCTTCAGATATCGTATTTCACCAATAGTTAAGTCCAGTAAACAACCAATAACATCGTGCATCCCAAAAGGTTCGCCATAGTCATCAAATTGTTTCGCATTCGATTTCTTTCCAGTGCCGCCAAAACCATAACCAAATTTGTCAGTTCCAAGGTCTAAAGAAGCCTATAAAATCAAAAACGTTTAAACTACCTACCGTATCCCTCACAATCAATCTTATTAACCTAATTTACTTAAAGCTAACAAGGAAAAGTCACATTAATCGAGATTGAATTTTATTTAGCTTTATACAGGTTAATTGTTCTGTACGAGGTTGTACAAGACCGAAAGGGCGAGATTCTAACCGAACGTGAATTCGATCGAGATCCGCGAAATGAAATGTTCTAATTATCGATTACGCGTGTGATTCAAACCAACAAGTGTCCGTCTTTGTTTGCGGACTAGCGCAAGAATTTAAGCTAACTGAGAGAGGCTATCAAAGCTTTATGAGCCTAGCCGTGAAAAGCCGTGAAAAGCCGAAGTAAAGGAGCGTCCCGAGTGACGTCCTGAGTTAACCGAAGCCTGAGTTGAACTGGCGTTTTTTGGTTGTTAAGCAAGACACTTCGCCTGCGTCTTGCCTTCGGGTGGGGAGCAACATTGTCGCCGAGCAGTTTTCCGCTTGCAGGGTAGTTCGCAGAAGTGCGCCCATAAATTCCCTGAAGAGGGTTGTCTAAAACTTCGTAGAATTTTTCGAGCACGTCTCCGTCATCAGGCAATAAACCAGTAAAGAGGCCCTCGCTGAGTTTAACCCTCCTCGAGGACTCTCACTGATTTATGTTGGTCATTGGAGTTAACTTATGGCCGCCCTTGCCCAAAAGACAGCCAAATTCGGAAAACGCTTGAGCGACATGTGCGGTCCTGGCGGACGGACTTTCTCCGCGGTGCGTATCCCAAACATTAATCTATTAGGTTGTCGAGGAAGTCACGACGAATTTTCGTACAGATGGTGATTGATAAATGCGTCATGCCTTTCCCGACTATCTAATACAATAAAAATAAGAAAACACGTGTCTACGTATACATTCGAATGGGCCTTACTTTTCGAGTTATTACCATTTAAATTGAAGTTTATCGAATGTGACATTTAACTTGAGACACCAATATATCTCTAAAGTGTAATTGCGAGGTGTAAACTCCATTGAGGTTATGTCGCACTGGTGCAAAAAGCATTTTATAGAAAAAAATGTCAAATAATAGTTTCTTAACTTTAAGAGGGACGTATAATGTTAAATTAATTGTTTATTTGAAGGTCATTTCAGAGTCAGTTTTATTTCTTTAACAGAAGATCCTTCTTATTGCAACGTTATATGAAAAAAGGAACGACTTTCACTGGAAATATTTTTTTTCGACTTTAATTTTGCAACATAGTAATCAAAATGATGTCAAGAAAATTCCATTCCGAGTTATCTTGTACAATACCTTAGTTTCACTATTTACACCAGTCAGACTTTATGTGGATTGAGGAAAGCGACCACAGTTACAAAAAAGAACAGCCACCAGAAATTTTCGAAAAGGTAATTTTTAAGTTCAATGCATTTTTTTTATGTGAGTTATAAAGGAATCATAACATTGCATTAATGTCGGTCCATATATATGTAATACGTTTAATACGTTCTATCATATTTTATAGAGTGAATGTCAATAATTTCCAAAAATTATTTTTGGAAAAAGATATAATAATTAACAGAATTAATCACAACAATTAAAAATACTATCCGGGCATGTAAAATATGCGATAATATATCGTTACGTTAACAATAATAATGTGAAATTTTGCTATATAATTAGTAAAAAGTTTTGTTATTCTTTCTAGGAAAGGATAGTAAATGTAGAATTGTTCATTTTACTGCTCCCAAAAGGTAAAAAAATATAGTTACCGTTACCAGATTTCCTAGTTAAGAAAAAAATTGATTTTGCTATAAAAAGTATCCAAGTCCTGTTTGAACTATGAAGACTAGTTAAAAATTAGTTAATTTAACTAGACTTTTCTCTCAGCGTATATACGCGACTTCCGTGAAAAACCGCCGGCAACCTAAGTCACTTGTACATGCCGTCCGCCATGGAAACGTTAACACCAAATGTGTCATTTGCTAGGATTAGTAACAGATATTAAGGATTACCTGAGACGTTGACCAACCAACTCGACACAAGCCCTCGTCAGTGACAATAGCTTCATAGAAAAATTTGCCATTACCATGCACCCCCTTGTTTGCTCTGCAACCGTGCCATTCCCGTTGCTCTCGGCTTTGACAACGCAAGCCATCAGGAGTAATAGCTAACGCTTTACCTCTGTCGAACAGGCTCAACCCCCAGTTTAAAGCTACGGATATTTCATGAAATTAATGAACAATAAACGACACATTCATACACGAAACTATGTTGCTATGAAAGTCTGGAGACATCGAAAATTAACTGAACGGGGACAGTTCGGGGACCTTAAGGTGAAGTGAAACACGTCGAGGAAGTTGATCAACGTTGATAAAGAAGATTTTTCTAAATACCTACGTTCGTTTTTATATGGACAGCTGTGTCGAATTACATTGAATATTGTACCAAATGGCATACTACACTTGTCGTTTTCGTACAATAAATATCAAGAAATCGAAGTAAAACTCCAGAAATCCTCTGGATTCAAGCTTTCTGGGGCCCTAATTGACTGCAGAGGGACCCCCTGCGCCATCTGTGATTTCCAGGTCAATTAAATTTTCACTGCGAGGCCTCGTATTCCCATCGTTTTAGCATAGAAGCGCATACAACACCTTTTTTGCCTTTATCCTGTTCAAATGCGAGTTTATCGATTACCAGAGTGTTCTAAATTGTCGTAAAATTGTCCTGACTCTTTGGATTCTCATATCAGAGCCTTCGATAATTGTATATTGATCGAAATATGAGAGCTCGACGCCATTTTGGTACTGAACTGGGCTGAGTTAAAAAATTGTTTTTCTAAATCCAAATTTTGAATATGTCGGGACAATTCTTAGGTGATCAGGAGTGGCGTGTCAAAGTTTCGGACAGTTTGGTCTAATACCCTTAAAAAGAAGTGTTGTATTCGAATCGACTGATTTGAGGGGGGTTTCACTTCACCTTAACCCCTTGCCTTACGATTTAAATTCCAATAGCGCGTGCTATAAACAAGAAAAATGTCGGTCATACATCGGGCCATTTCACGGTTTGCCTGAACGTTCAAAGTCTCACACGTCTCTCATACGTTTTGTTTACGTTTGGCCCGATTGGCATACCACGTCTCTCACATGTTTTGTTCACGTTAGGCCCGTTTGATATACCAAGCCTCTCACACGATATTGTAAGTGAAGAGGTTAAGGTGAAGTGAAACACTCTTCAAATCAGTCAATTCGAATACAACACTTTTTTTTAAGGGTGTTGGACCAAACTGTTGGCAACTTTGCTACATCACTCCTGATCATCTAAGAATTGTCCTGACACATTGAAAATTTGGATTTTGTAAACAAATTTTTTAATTCAGCCCAGACCAGAACCAAAATGGCGTCGATCTCTCATATTTCGATCAGTATACAATTATCGAAGGCTCTGATATGAGAATCGAAAGGGTCAGGACAATTTTACGACAATTTAGAACACTTTGATAGTCGATAAACTCACATTTGAACGGGATAAAGGCAAAAAAAGTGTTGTATGCGCTTCTTTGCTAAAACGATGGTAATACGAGGTCTCGGAGTGAAAATTTAATTGACCTGGAAATCACAGATGGCAAAAAAAGTGTTGTATGCGCTTCTTTGCTAAAACGATGGTAATACGAGGTCTCGGAGTGAAAATTTAATTGACCTGGAAATCACAGATGGCGCGGGGGGAATTAGGGCCCCAGAAGGCATGAAAATACCTAATTGCCCTTGTGTGAGAAATGGGTACGAAATTAATCGCAGAATCACCTTAGCAATGCGATTATTAGATGTAGGTTTGAATGGTATAGAACAGTTTTATGCCTTCATGGAATTGCCGCGGCCGATATACCATTCCTTTTATAATAAACTTGTCAAAGCAATTGCTGTAGCAAAGAAAACTGTGCGTACTGTCCGTATCTGTGCGTAGGAAAGCTGAAGAGGAGGGAAATCTTGCCTTAGAAGGCCAACTTTATGGAGCTGGCATAGCAGACTAAAGGTAAAAATTTGTTTTGATTCGATTCTTCAAATTTAACAACAAAAAAGTTACACGTCAAACTTTAAACGCATTTTTCTAATTCGCGTGATAAGTAACTTCGACAAATTTCTTCCGATTGACTTCAAATTTTTAAATCATCATTGTAATTGTATTTCGCAGAGAAGTACATACGGAATTTTTGATTAATTAAAAACTTTCCATTTTGTGAGCAGTTTTATACGAAATTTGTCACTGGAAATTCACCTGTTAACTTCAAATACCTGCCATTTTCGAAAAAAATTAATATTTTTAAAATTCCATATGTACTTACCTAGGTATTCTTATGTAGATTAACGAGAATTGTTTTGTTTTGTTCTAGGTAAAAAATTGTGGACGCCAAATGTCACGCCGTGGAACGCCTCGGAAAAAGGTGAAAAAGGCAAATAGGAGTTGTCGGCCATTTTGCATAAGAAAATGAATAAAGAAAACTATTTTTGATACTTTGATACATACACTAAATATGTTATCGTATACCTGTAATTAGTTTTGTAAATAAATTACTTTTTTATACAACAAAAAAATGGTTGAATATGCACATGATTTTATACCCACTACCCGCTGCCATACCCCTTAATTAATTTTAAAAAAGTAAAAACTTAAACAATAGATTTGTTTTTCAATAGTTAAGGGTATAAACTGCAGTGAAAACAATGATCAAAAACTCTGTAGGGAAGACTTTCATAGCAAACTAGGAAATTCTCTAATAAATACATTGTTGCACTTGGGTGGATTTTCTTCCTTTTCCGGACTCAATATCCTTCAATGTTTCCCAAACGATTTGTAAGATCGGTAAACAGAAGGCTCCAGTTTTACCACTTCCAGTTTCCGCCGCCATTAAAACATCTCCGCCACCCAAGATCAAAGGAATAGCCTCTGCTTGGACATCAGTTGGTAACCTATACAAACAGCGCTTTCTTAGAGATTCTACCTTACTTCGTGATTTTACGGCACTTGACTACTTACATCCATTCCATATCTTCTACGGCTTTCGCTATTTCCGGCAGAACACCCATCTCTGTAAAATTGAAGAGGAATTTCAAATTCAAATTTTGTGTAACTACGGGTACGTAAGAATTCTTTTGTATTTTTATATACGATAGAATCATCAAGTAAATATCATAAGATCACATCGTATGTAATATATTTCAATCTAGCAATTAGGTAGAATTTCCAGCCAAATACGCATGCGCGAGAACACGCAGCGTCAACTGATGACAAAAACTCTTCCTGAGCTTGAGCTCAGCGTGGCTATTGGAAATGGGATGTGAGAATGATACACTTTATTGTATTTAATTTAACAAAAACTTTATTCTTTATTTAACGCTCGGAGGACCCATCTTTACTTCTTCAATTACTCTAGCGAACTAACCACAAAAGGGCAACTGCTGATCTCGGTCAGGACCAGTGATGACTAAATTCCTTTCGTATACCTGAAGTTCTAATTTAAATTCACAACGAAATAGATTCGCGTTTAAGGAAAATGGATCGCTATTGCTTGGTTAAAGGCTGCCATAGCACAAAATATCCGAGTAAAAATAGAGAAAATGACGTAAATATACCATTTTAAGGTAAGGGATTAACCGATCATATCGGATTAAGTGACATCATATTCATAAACACCTAACCATCACTGTCCGTGCAACGCGAAGCTTTGAACTGGATTTTGAAGTATATGAAGAATTAGGTATACGTGCAATAGCATGTCGAAGAAAGATTCCACAGCTATTCAAGGAAATGATTTTTTGTTTTCGTACTGTATTCGTAAAATTCCTAGAGGTAAAGTTATTCAAAATGTAGCTTATCTTTTAGTATCTCTTTGACTTAAAGAACCGGTCCAATGGATTACGTTATCTCGATCGAAATGATTATACGGGGGGTGTCTCAAAAGTAAGTTCCACTATTTTTTTAAACCCGTTTGGTTGGCGGGAAACGTTTGAAATTTAGAGGGAATATTTGTCTGGGTGTAGGGCAGGTCCTGTAAAGTCCCTATACCCGTGCATTCATCGCTAGGTCAGTCAGGCCGCAGTCGCCATGGAGACTCCACTCGCTCTTACCGCCGATTGTGAAACTCGTGGTGTTATTCATTTTTTAACCGGAAAAAATTAAAATGCGACTGAAATTCGTCGCGAGTTGTTTAGCGTGTACGGTGAAGATGTTATGTCAAGGTCAATGGTTGCTCGTTGGCGCCAATTATTCATTGATGGGAGAAAAACATTGCACGATGAACAACGAAGCGGCCGGCCCTCGACTTCACTTACTCCGAGTGTTGCCGAGAAGAAAAATTGAATTTTTTTCCAAAAACCGAGCTAGCACAAAATTTGCGAATGTAGCACATAAAGAGCACAAAATGTTAAGACAAAGAAATTTGAATTCTGTAAAGGTGGGGGTGCCAGCTTTACGCACCTGTTGCCGAGCATGTTCGAAGGATCTTGGATTCCGATTGGCGCCTTACGCTTGATGAAATTCTTTATCAACTGCCCCCGAATATTGAGATCCAAGGTACCAGAGAGAGATAGAGAGAGGAACAGAAGGTTCCGGTTAAAAACAATGAGACTCCAGTCGCTCGTACCGCCGATTGTGAAGTTCGTGGTGTTATTCGTTTTTTAACCGGAACCTTGTGTCCCTCTCTCCATTTCTCTCTGGTACCTTGGATATCAATATTCGGAGGCAGTTGATAAAGAATTTCATCAAGCGTAAGGCGCCAATCGGAATCCAAGATCCTTCGAACATGCTCGCCAACACTAGGAGTGCGTGAAGTCGAGGGCCGGCCGTTTCGTTGTTCATCGTGAAGGAAATATTTCGAAGAGGCAAGGCTTTTATCGGAGGTCCATGGGCGGACCTATTCCCCGAATCATGGGCGAGGAAAGGCGAGAATGTTTACAATATATGAGCATGGCCTAAACAACTGATACGGCTAGACCAAGACGGTCCCTGCCAACAGTGGACGGGACGGCATTTGGTCAAGGAACATAGAGCGGAACACTTGGATCCATTTTTTTATACGCCTCCTCGAGGATCATATCTATGGTTTTTTTTAACAATAATCCAATTAATGTTCTGTAAATCTACAACAATATAGACTCGTTGGCGGTGGTTTCGCTTCGGTAATTTCACCTCCTACAATCGTGCAATGTTATTCTCCCATCAATGAATAATTGGCGCCAACGAGCAACCATCGACCTTGACATAACATCTTCACCGTACACGCTACACAATTCGCGATGAATTTCAGTCGTATTTTTATTTTTTCCGGTTAAAAAACGAATAACACCACGAGCTTCACAATCGGCGGTAAGAGCGAGTGGGGTCTCCGTGGCGACTGGGGCGTGACTGACCTAGCGACTAATGCACGAGCATAGGGATTTTACAGAGCTTGCCCTACACCCAGGCAAATATTCCCTCCAAATTTCAAACGTTTCCCGCCAACCAAACGGTTTGAAGAAAATAGTGGAACTTACTTTTGAGACATCCCTCGTATTTGAATTGATTGGAAATGGGATGTTAGAATGATACACTTTATTGTATTTCATTTAACAAAGACTTTATTCTTTATTTAACGCTCGGAGGACCCATCTTTACTTCTCCAATCACTCTAGCGAACTAACCACAAAAGGGAAACTGCTGATCTCGGTCAGGACCAGTGATGACTAAATTCTTTCTCTGGACCCTCTTTGTGGAGGTGCGACTCTGCGTCGCCTCTTAATCCAAACAACGGTTCTTATCGTTATCTATACGCATTAAACATAGATTGGTTTTTGTTTCATTTATAAACCTCAATCTTCAGGTTTATAATTCCAACAGTGGCATTAGGCTGTTCATAGAAACATTGATTTAAAAACAGTATTTAATTTTATGACTGAATATTATTACAGGTAATATTATCATCCTCGACGTCTATGTAGTTGGAACCAGTGACGCCCGCATATTATTATCGGATATCCCAAAAGTCATAGAAAATCCCAATAATCTGAAAAACAGTTTGAGTCTCCTCGAAATGGGATATTATACATCCCCTATAAGTGGAGTAAAAAAAGTGGACTTCCGCCGGATCAGGGGGTTATTACACGCCAATATGTTTGCGCCCAAATGGATGGTCACCCCTTTCTCCCCAAAACTACCCCAACCCAATGGGCCTCAAGAGAGAAGGAACCGAAAACCTAATATTTCTCCTGTGCTGCTTAATTTATCGCTGCTTATTACTTTACTAGTACCTTACATAAATATCTGCTGTTCTGGAGTTATTTTTAGCTTTACATGGTAAGTATGTTCGAAACCAAAGTTCTGTGCAATGATTTACTTACGTCCTATTTGGAACGTATGATTACAATGATTAATCTCTTACAATTATTCCATGTATACTAGAATAAATTAATAAATACTCGTACGATGATTGCACCTGAAAAGAAGAGTCATACAACATAAAGCGTTACGTCCAACCTCACCTTGTAATTTATGCCGCGGCAAATATCTGTGATTCAACAACAGAGTAAAAATTTAACGACATATATTCTAGTGCACATGGCATAAGTGTAAGAGATAAATAACTGTAATCATACGTTCCGAATAGAACGTAAGTAAATCATTGCACAGATCTTTGGTTTCGAATTTACTTACCCTGTACAGCTAAAAATTACTCCAGGACAACAGAAATTTATGTAACGCACTTGTAAAGTAATAAGCAGCGATAGACTGAGCATCACAGGAGAAATATTAGGTTTTCGGTTCCTTCTCTCTTGAGGCCCATACGGTTGGGGTAGTTTTTCGGTGAAAGGGGTGATGTTTCGAATCTGGCTCGTGGGTATCCCCAGAGCACATAAATAGCACGAAGATAATGCGAGAGAAAATCGTGCAAAATGTGTTACTATTTCTACTCTTCTATCTTGGAGCCTATACGATCGGAGGTAGTTTTAGGGGGAAGGGGACAGTGTTTCGGATCCGGCTCTTGGATATTTCTAGAGCACTAAAATAGCACCAAAATAATTCGAGAAGAGAACATGCAAAATGTTATTATTTCTATCTCTTCTCTCTTGGCACTTATACGATGAGGGGTAGTTTTGGGGTGAAAAGGGTGGTGTTTCGGATCTGGCTCTTGGGTATTTCTAGAGCACTAAAACAGCACCAAAATGCTGCATACTCATTTTTCTGCGAATCTTTCCCTTAACGTAGAATCCACTGTGGGGTGTTGAGTGAATGTTCACTCAGCACCACCATCGATTTTCGGTATAAAGGATTGTTCGAGCCGAATTAGCAAGGGCTCAACTGAAAATCAATTCTTCCATTTTCGTTATCTCAAATAGTAATGAGTATGCCACGCGTGGTCCGAAAACAGACTTCGCGTCCCGGCGCGCCAACCACCACGTCAAGGGTCGACAACGACGTCGACCCCCTGGAGGTAGGGTCGTCGTCTCGACTCAATTCCTTTGAGCATCGTTCCTACACGCTTCTCTTCATCCTGAAGTGTCTCCTTCAACCCATCCGGAAAATATCGTTCGAAAGTTCCCAAGAAGACCTATGTACCTCTCGACCACGTCCGCAATCAGGACAATTTATGTCTCCGTCCTTTTACTCTTCTTCTAGTTCTTCTCCGAAATCCTCGAGCGACACCCGCATATGCAGTCCCCACTCACGCCTATGGAACTGCAGAAAACTTCCCTTTCCTCAAATTTCCTTGATCAATCCGCTGCATGGTAAAATTCAATTCGTTGACACAATACAGCTATCCATGACTTCCTTTCAAAACTCTGCCTCTCTAAACTCTCTCCGGGACATTCATGTTTCTCAACTTGGGTCCTAAAATCTAGATTCGACTGAACAGCCGCGTGGCCAGCATCGCCCCGGCATCTTACAAGGAAGGTACCTGAGGTGTCCCCCTCCGATTTTGTTCATTTTTAAATATGTTATAGAGGACTAAAATCTAAGGGACCCGTGTTTTTTTTTATCGGCGGATAAACACTTTTAGGGGGTGAAATCAGGCTTCAAAGTTGGCCGTGCAAGGGGGTGAGTTGGCTGTTTCATATAGAAGCACTCGACCGATTTTCATGAAACAACCGTCAAAATGTAGGGAATGAAGAATTATGAAACATGCATTTGGAATTTTTCGAAAAAATTCATTTTTACGGGGTGAGCCACCCCTTTGAATACTTCTTTTACCCCTTACGCGAGCAGTAATTGCTCTATCCAAATGAAACTTGGTTAATTTATAGACCAGAACAATACAAAAAAAAGCATATTTTGGTTTTTTTCGAAAAACGAATTCTAAGGGTTGTAACAACCCTTTAATAAAATGATGTATAATCTCATTTTAAAACCAGCTTTGTACGACTTTCTTGGACTTAAAGGACTTAAAGGACTTTAACGATTAAAATTAATAAAAGAATACGATCAGGTACCATCCGATACATTCGAAGGGTAAATTACCTCTTGGGTTCAAAGGAATGTGATTCGTAGAATATTAGACAGTGGAGTTAGTTGTCCTCGCAACTAGTGCATAGCCGAGTGGTAACGCCGCGCGAGCGAGCAGGATGCAGTGCCAGGTTTTCAACGATTCCACCATCTAACGGTACTGAAAGGAAGTAGATCACCCATCCCATACTACTGGTACATATAGGAATTAATAAACTACACATTGTGCACCGATGACAAGTATAATTCAGACTCCTTACTACATTTTGGTTCTTTTATATTTATTCAATGTAAACCCATCGCAAAGGTAATGAAAATAAAATAAATATTGAGCAATTCACTGTTTAACTACATTAGTTATTGATACACAATCTAGGATTGTATTTTAATTTATGCTCCAAATTATTTTAGTTAAACTGAAATAAAATGTCATATGCACATTAATTTTATTCCAATTCGATTAAAATAACTTGCAGCATAAATGAAAATACAAACCTAGGCTATACAGCGGTAGGCACGAATGCCTTCTTTGTAGATACGGTAATGGCAATGCATAATGGGAAGGCATTCTTGTCCACCAGTGTACATTGACGACCAATACAACACGGACAGTGTTCACTACTTTTAATACTTCTTTTAAATTTACCTAAAATATGATCTTTGTATAAGTTATGAATATAAAATATATATTCAAAGTAGTATGAACACTAAATGTACCGATAATTTATAACACTTTTATCGTTTTAAATGGTATCGATACCATTTAAAATCAGTCATTTGACCAGCCACTGGAATGTCTGGTATTAAACGAGTTATTAAGGAATAAATCAGTATTTTAATTTCTTCAACATGTTATTTTACACAAATTAAATAAAAACATTTTATTTCAGTTTGAGTAAGGCACTCTGATATAAATTAATCCTTAGCTTTATCGGTGTTTCTGTCTGGCCGAAATCTATTACTGGTAATATCTCCAAAGATTCTGCTAACTTTTAATAACAAATTCCACCTTTCCTGTTATCGCTAGTGAAATAAGATGCAAAGGAAATTCAGGTATCAACTGGAATAAAAATTTTAATTCTGCTCCATTTCATTCCTTGTACCGAGTAAGAATTATACATCACTACACAAATTGTACATGAACGTAAGATTCAACACACTGCAATGCATACAACCAGTGTTGCCTTTAAACTCTAAAAGAACAGATATAAAATGACTACAGTCAATCTTGTTCCACAATGAATCAAAATCAATAATTGTCTCATAATTTGGGTCAACTTAATCTACTATATCAAATTTAATGTGTTGTTAATTGTAAAATTTAATTGAAAAGCGCCATTTTGATTACTTTGACAACGATGGAATATTTGATGTTTGATTTCAATTTATACATGAGTTTATGATCTATGGGTTTTGCATTTCAATAACTTTTTCACATAACAAAATACGAAGCAAAACTGGAAAAAGTACCTTCGAAGGCTGCCATGATGCTTCAACAAATGAAAAATTAAATCCAACAAACACTAATAAAAATTCACTATTCTGTACATCTTTCGATGAATTCAAAAACAGGCATAAACTACCCGGTGAAATTAAGGAACTGACTCAGTACGAGACAGCAAGATCGCTCACAAGCCGGTTCTCTCACGTTGGTAAAGACCAAGACAACAAAAATGTCCATAGAGGCCACTGAAACCATAGATGAGTTGGGAGATTGCTCACGGGCAGGGTCGCGCGTTCGCGTCCTGTGCTGCCCTCCGGTGGAGGATGCGGACAGCTAACGCACTTGCCACCTGTTCCCCTCAGTGGTGGTGCAACATATTTCTGGCCAGTAGGCCTATTCTCTAACTCGTAACGACAACTGTCGTTATCGTTACGTTACCGATGGTCGTCGCTTGTTCTACCGACAGCTTAACGAATGGCGTATTCTGTAACTGCTCCTAGCGACACCCTATCGATACAAAATGAGCTAACGACATCGTTACGCTAGCGACAATGCCCTATTCGGCATAACTGTTTTCAACCAATGAAATTTCACATTTTCTTAAGATGAGTTTGTGAACACTGAAAGATACAAAGGATACAAATTAAAAATAGTGGTTCACAGCAGCGAAGTTCATAGTTTTT